TGTTTGCCAGTGGTAAATTGTTTTCTTGGTGTAGAGCTTTACATTCTGCTTTTGACCTTGTGCTCTGTCACTTTGTGGTGGGTTGTCCCCATTTTACAGATAGGAAGTGTGTGACTTGCTCAAGGCAGTCTAGAAATCTATTGTTGGTTAAACTCAGTCTCTGCTCACTGGGACTACACTGATCTCTGTTAGAAGATGTATTTATTTCAGGCAGTTTGGCTAGCAGTGCCTAAGATGCCTTCCCAGGTTTACAGTTCTAGGAGTACTTTCCTGATGCCGTACGTCATCTTCAGACTCCACGGTGGCATGTTGATACTATCAGGGTTTTACTTTTTTCAGAGCAAAGTGAGGCGCTGGGTTTAGTTGGGTATAAGAAGGAGCTAATTTTCCAAGTAAGCTGACCCCAGAGTGCTTAGGGTTAGGTGTTAAGATTGTCAAGTTAAAAAGAACAAATGCCCACTTGAGGCTTCTAATTGGAGATGGAAAGTCACATAGAATATAAATGTGATTTGCCTGAGGGAAAACTGATGAGATTGTTGTGGTACACAAACTTAGCTTTAGTAAGGAGAAATCGTTGTTCAATAAGTATATCTTCTGTATGACAGAAAATTGGCCAAATGTGGATGATTTCATTTACACAAAATAAACATGCTAAAACAAATAACAACAAAAAGCAAAGCTAAACTTTTGAAGTAATGGCAAAACAAAGCTGACTTGTCTCTTATTCAGTCATGAGACATCAGAAGCAACATAGGTCTCAGTGGGAAGATGATACAATGTACCCGGGAGCTTAGGGCTACATATAATCTCTGTTCAATGATGGGGTGTAAAGATGGGGCGTTTCCAGGATGCATAAAATTAAAACATCCTTTGAGATTGGAACCTCCATAGACCAGTTGGAACAGGTGGTGACTTCTTGTTTTGAAAAACCCAGGTGAATTAAGAGAGGAGTTGTCTGCAGCGAGGAGGAGTGTTTGGCTGGCTGCCATGCCTGCTGGCTGGGGACCTTTGGGCTTTTCTGTGTTGAACAAAAGGTGTTTTTCCTTTTCAGACTTTTTTTAAAAGAAGAGAAAAACCTTTTGTCATATTGATTTGTAGCTATTGCAGTGATAAGGCAAAGGAAACTGCTTGCCTTCACAGGATCCTGAGCTCACATCCATCCATCCAAGTTAAAAATAAAAGCACTCAGAGTATCTCCTGTTGCATCTCTTTATAATAGCTTTATTGTATAGTATGCAAGCAGTTTGATTTATGGACATAAAATACCCTTTAAGAATCTTGCTTTGTTTTTCCTACTGTGGCCTTGGTATGGGGGTTTCCTTTTCTGTTAGTTGTACCTTGCTTTTATTTATTTATTGCTCTTATATCCCGCCCTATCCCTTGATGGGCTCAGGGCGGCTTACAACACAAATAAAATACAGTGAATATGTAATTAAAAACTAGTTAAATAAAACAGGATGGCAGCTAATAAACATAGCATTAACTCTAGAGCAGCCCAGTATGTTTCCTGTTAGAGGTTAGCAGGATAGTAGGCATCTGTGGGGGAGCTGCGGTGGCTCAGCTGAACTGCAGGCTATGGAAGGTCAGTAGTTCAGCAGTACAAGACCCGAGTTGCTGCTTGACGGAGTGAGCTCCCGTCTCTAGCTTCCAGCTCCTGCCAACCTAGCAGTTCGAAAGCAAGAAATTGCAAGTAGATAAATAGGTACCACTTCGGTGGGAAGGTAACAGCATTCCGTGCGCCTTGGTATTTAGTCATGCCGGCCACATGACCACAGAAACGTCTTCAGACAGCGCTGGCTCTTCGGCTTTGAAATGGAGATGAGCACCGCAACCCTAGAGTCGGACTTGACTGGCTTTCAAGCCAGGGAACCTTTACTTTTACCTTTAGGCATTTGTAGGCCTACTATGAGCAGGAGTGGCTGAGATGGTGGAAACATCTGCTGCCTCAACCAAAGTCCTGGTGGGACAGCTCTGTTGTGCAGGCCTTGTGGAATTGTAGCAAGTCCCTCAGGGCCTTGGTCTCAATTTGAAGTGTGTTCTACCAGGCAGGGGCCAGGGCAGAGAAGGCCCTGGCCCTGGTTGAGGCTAAGTGGATGTCTTTCTGGCCAGGGACTACCAGTAGGTGTTGTTGTGCATAGCGCAAGGCTGTATGGAAGAGATGGTCCCAAAGATATGATGGTCCCGTAGGTATGCTGATCCCAGAGCGTGTAGGGCTTTAAAGGTCAACACCATAACCTTGAAGTGGATCCGGTACTCAAATGATAGCTGGGGCAGTTGGCATAGCACTGTCTGAATGTGTGCCCACACAGACAACACTGTCAGCAAGTGTGCCACCACATTTTGCCCTAGCTGGAGTTTTCAGGTCAGGTTCAAGGGCAGCCCTGCATAGAGTGTATTTCAGTAATCCAGCCTGGAAGTGTGTGAATCACTGTAGCCAAGTCCCGGGAGGAGAGATAGGGAACAAATTGCTTGACCTGCCACAAATGATAAAAGCCAGACCTGGCAACAGTGGCAACCTGGTCCTCCGTTGAAAGTGGGGCATTCAGGATCACCCCAAGACTCCTCGCCCTGTACCTTTCTTTGGTGAGGGGGCAAGACAAGTGTAGGGCTGAGGGCTGTAGTGTTTGCAAAAAGCAGTTTTTGCTGCTTGTTGAGTCTTATTAAACCATAAAACTGATTTATTTTGGAGCAGAAGATGGAAACAGTTAGAACAGTGAATCTTCTGTTTCTATCAAGCATAATATTTCTTCTAATTTGATGCTTTGATCTGGCTGTTCTCTTGGGAACTTCCTTCCCCCGGTTAGTGTCCCTGAGCTTGGCTGACTTGTGTTAGTTATTTGGAACCATTTTGCCTGCCTGCTGTGTTTTCTGCTGTGTAGCTGCTTGTTTTTTGTGGCGTGCTGTGATGGTGGATGGGAAAAAAGGGATTAATTTATTGACCTTTCAGCTCTAGCATTCTTTCTTGTTAGTAACTTTGTCCTGATAATTTGGCCTTCTCAGATTAGTGCCTATCTTTTCAGGGTGCACTCCCCCCCCCCCCCCCCCCCCCACTGGTAGTTCAGGAAGGCACTTCAGATAATATCCAAAATGGCAGTTGCTTCATAATAGAAATGGGAAGGCTAAGTTGTTTAGATAGTAGGTGTATGTGAAAGATGACTGGTATTTGTATACACTCGCTCCTACCTATGATAAGAAGCAGCACATTTTTTCATGTGCTTCTGAAATGGTAACATTCTATACTTTTTATTTGGAGGACCAGCACTTTGCTGTAAGATTTTTGATTAACTCTGCTTTAGAGATTTGGAGGGGTGTGTGTCTAAGGACTCTTCTAGGAAATTTTGGAGAGTAATTAAGAAAAAAGCCTATAAAATACATAGTTTTCTTTTGGAATGAGTGATGTGGGCTAAGATAGTATAGGATGCAACAATTTATAGCTCTCTCTTTGGTCAAGATATGACCAAATCTGTGGATGCTTAAGTCCAGGGACTGGAGCCGTGAACAGATAAGATAGATCTTTCTACAATCCTGAGGAAAGCCCTAGGTCTGTAGAAAAAATCTGAAATCTTAAAATAGAAAATACATAGGGATTTAAAACCACCCTCAAATAATAGTCCAGTGCCTGTAGTTTTAAGAAACAGTAGCTGTTATGGGCATTGCTGGGCACCCACAACTTGCCAGCCTTCAAGCCTCTGTTTCTTCCAGTAAAAGGCAGTGAAGGGGCAGTGCAATTTTCAGGGCTATTTTGGCCTTTGAGTGAAGACTTACTGGAACCAAACCTGGCAGGCAGCCACTGCAGTATTGACTTGTTACCATGCAACTTGCATGACTCACCTGGGATCAGCTGCTTGCTACTCTTCAACAGCAGGCATCCCATGAAACACAGTGTGATATAGTGGTTAGAGTTACAGACTAGGGTCTGGTGATCCAGGTTGAGATCCTCATTCTTCCATGGAATCTTTCTGGGTGGCCTTGGTCCAGTCACGCAAACTCAGCCTAACCTGCCTCATAGGGTTGTTGTGAAGATGAATGGAAGAAAATGATGTAAGCTCCTTTGAGTCCACACTGGGAAGAAAGGCAGGGTATAAATGTAGTATCTGAAATTCTGTTGCTGTGGGAATTGCTTGATACAATTATACATATCCCCCTGAAAAGGCAAGGGTGAAATACAAAGGGGTGGTATTTTTGAATAAAACAAGCTATTCCTTTTGTCTTGCAGAACTTTTTGATTCCACAAGTCTGAGGAAAGTGTTCTAAGCAACAACTGTGTTGTGTGAAGACGGAGAAACTATCAAAGAAAGGTAGGCTTGCTGCAGAGCATCACCTTAGCATCAGTGGCAAAAAGAACTTGAGTGTACTTTGCCTCATTTCCATAAAAAGTATAATTCTAGCATTTTCATGCTGTACTGATGCCATTTTTAGTATCTTATGGAACGGGTTCTGTTTCTATGTGACATGTTCACAATACAGTTAACTTTGGATTTTCTTAAAACTCCTCTGAAATTTCTGTGTTTTCTGTTTCCATTTTTGATTACTTATGAAGCATAAACCTACGTTGTGAAATTACTTGATATTTCCAAGGAAGAGAGTCCATTATGCTATGACAGTAATGTTTACAGCAAGTTTCCTTTCTAAAATTTTGACATGCTGTGTCACTATTAGGGGTGTAACACTTGGTATTTATCAAGCTGGTGTTTTTGGGGTGTTTCCTAAGCCGAATCTAATTCTGTCATCTGTAATCAGCTACTGATATAGAGAATCCCAATAAAACCTGGTATTACTTGGCTTTTATTCAGCTTGGCACAGCAATATCAATTTCAGCTTCTCCAGGCCCACGGTTTAAACTGTGGGGCAGGAGAAGCCTCCCAGCCAGGTTTGCGTGTGGTGGGAAGAAACCTTTCTCCACACACAGATCCTGGGCCCAGCGTCTCCTTGCTCACAGTTTAAACCACGGGGCAAGAGAATCCTAATGCATTTGAAGGGACCGTCTCTTTAAATGCATTTTGCAAGCTGCCGCTAGGTCAGGTGCCAGTTTAATGCCTCTAGCTTGCAGGAGGGCAGTTTGACACACTCCCTTCCCTTTTGCATGTGGACCCTGGGATCTCCCCCCCCCCCCAGCCAATCGTCACACAACTTGGAGGGCAGGTAGAGGGGCATCCCAGGGAAGTCCACTGCCAGTTTGATGCCTCTAGCTTGCAGGGGGGGGGCATTCAACACACTCCCTCTCCTTTTGCACAGGGACCCTAGGATCTTCCTGCTCCCCAAAGCCAATCTACACACAACTTGGAGAGAGAGGGACATCCCAAAGAGGTCCACTGCCAGTTTGATGCCTCTAGCTTGCGTGTGTGTGTGTGTGTGCTTTACACAGTCCCTCCCCTTTTGAACATTGGACTGACTCTAGGATCTCCTCCCCCCGCCAGTCTGGACACAACTTGGAGGGACGGTCCCTTCAAATGCATTTTGCAAGCCACTGGATGAGCAAACCCGGAAGGGTGAACCTTCTAGGTTCACTTGTGCTGCAGCTCGCAAAACACATTTAAAGAGATGGTCCCTTTGAATGCTGAGCCAAAAAATTGACAATCCTGATTATTTCCCAGATTATTTCCCAAATATCGATATTGGGATTCGGGAATATTGGGAAATAGTGATTTATTTATTTTTTGGTTCAATGCACCCAAACCCAAAAAATACAGATTTTTTTTGTGTGCTTACCCCTAGTCACTATTCTTAGTAGTTTTTACATCCTGTACTTAGGCATTCATCTTCCAAATTTCCTTCTTGTTATGTTTGATTTTTCATAAGCATATCATAAATAGAACAAGAGTATCACTTCCTGAAACATGTTGGCTGTATTGATGGTGCTATAAAGTCAGTTTTGTTAAAAAGTACTGCATAGCTAAGCAATAAAGTATTGGATGCTGGTATGCATAACTATGGGTAAACTCAGTCATATTTCTTGGAACATTTGGAAATGGTTAATAATCTAGCCATGGTATGAAAACATGAGAGAAATCTGCAGGAAGTCTGTTAGGCTAGCCCAGTTGTATTCACATCAGCATGGTAAGGTAGGTTAATACTTTTATCATATAACAAATGATTGGGGGCTGAGATTTAGAGAATAATGGCTTCTTGATGGCCATATAGTGAATTGGTAGACTGAGGTGAAATTTGAATCCAGGGCCTCAGCGCTTACACTCTGAGCCACTCTTTTATGTCAGCTGCATCACTTCATGGATGTGGGTTGTCTCAAGTTACTCATGGGGGGGTGCAGCAGATGAAGAATGCCCTTAGTTGTCTCACTTTGTGACAGGGAGAAACCTACAACCTTAGCTCTGCTGTGGCCAAGTTGGCCAAAAGGTTACTGAAGTCAACAACTGCACTTTGAGTAGTCTCAGCAATACCTTTGGATGTATTGCTGTTGCAGAGTAGAGAGGTTTTAGTAACAACTGGAGTGAGGATATAAATCTGAAGGAGGCTGTGGCCTGAGAGGGAGGAAGGTAGTAGAAACTAAAGAACAGGCGATTATATTAATGGACAAAGAACCATTTGGAATTCCCTGTAAACTGGGTAATCTGCATTTTGCAGAGTTGTTTGAAGAGCTGTAGCTAAACTCTTAATCAGCCATTTTGAACAGAATAGGGAGCTCCATTTTCAGTATGTGCCCTGAAGTGTTCTTTTAGTGGTTTCATTTTTGCAATCTTTGTCTCTTTAGCAGAAGAGGAGATGGTGAACGCATCTTCACCATGCAATTGTTGGGGGGAATGTCTAATCCTTATAAAGAAAGATGAAGTACTGGGTTTCCATGAGGGCACTCCCAGGTCAAACAAGCTTTCAGCCACAATCAGTTTGTCATAGGTGCTCCACATGACAGTTGTTCTTGGGAATCTTTTCCTATGTACAGAATTTAAAGTGAACATTAACTCAAATGGCAAGGATGTAAGGTTCTTTCTGCATGGCAGTGATTTTCTGTGTAGTGCTCATCGCTGCTGGGAATGCAAACATCCACATGGAAGTTTTCCCTGCACATTCCTTACCTGGCTGCAATTCTGCCCCCCCTCCAGACCTTTTTCAGGCTTAAAAAACTCCACCAGTTTATATATCACTAAGTGTTGTAATAATCTTTCTGGTGGTTTCTCTGAATTCCCAGCTTTCTTAGGGGGAAAAAAAGCTTGTTTTGTTGCAGTAGGGGAAAGCATATCTCCAAAATAAAAAGGGTTAGAGATATAGGGTTTTTTAAAAATGAAAGCTGGAAATTCAAAGAAACTAGTAAAAAGATTGTTATACCCCTTTAGTGATATGTCAGTTGGCAATTAAAAACAACATGAAAAAACCTTCTGGTGGTGGGGAGGGAATTGGTGGCCATGGCGGGTGGGAGCCGAGGAAGGAAAGTGCTGTCAGTGTTCATGGGATCTGCAAAAATATGCACCTTCCCATCCACACAGCATAAAAAGCACACTTTGATCTTTTGAAAAAGATTGTGGCAAACTATATTTGGGAAGTTGCAGCAAGGGGAGTAAAAACACGGAAAGTGAACAATTAGGGATGATGTTGTGTGGAACCAGCTTAAATTATTTTTTCTGGCAAATGTCCAGTTAGACCTGACCCCTGCTCCTGATGTGTATTTTTAGAATTTTAAACAACAAAAATTATCTTTGGAACCTATTTAGATTATCTTTTTTTATCTTCCTCACATTTGTATCCTGCTGGGTGAGTGTTAGGGCTTCAGAATATAGCTGACTCCAGCACTTGTGCAGGAGTGGGAGGAGAATGAAGGTTTAACCCTTGACAACATAGTGTCTGGAAATCCCAGTCGTGGTGTTGCTTCGCTCCTTATAATTGCTACGGATGTGTATGGGAGTGTGTGGGAGAACCACCGTGATACAGGTATAAACCTCCTGATTTTTCCTTGCCTCCAGAGAAGCAAAAGAATTTATGGTTTAAGGGGATCACTCCGAGGAATTAAGTCAGTGTATGCTTAACTGCATAGAACTTGAGCTCCAATTTGCTCTTTGTACAGTGAAAGTGATGAGCCAAGCCAGGTGTTAGCTTTATAGAGTTAGGTTTGCAGCACAGCCCTGGCAGAAATCTGGGGGGGGGGGAGGGGGGAGCTTTCATGGCCTTCACTGAGGATTACTTGAGGTATGTGCCTTCCCTGTTCCATTTCAGAAATGGGCCGGGCATGCAAGGGAACTGGTTTTTCTTTTTCATTTGCTAACCTGAATTAGAACTGTGTCTGGGGTGGGTGTGGGGAGATGAGTTTTGTGCTTTTCATATGGATTTTAGGTGTGCTTTGTATTCTGTTTGCAAGTTAAACTATCAATAAGAAGTTTTGCTTATTCTTGAATAACCAGGAGACTTTTGTCTGTGGAATAATAGATGTTGCAGCTCATTTGCAGCAGTGTGCTGTTTTGCTCTTCTTTGCAGCCACAGGCTACTTGTTCTATTGAAAGTGATTGCTTGAGATTTTTCCAAGTAGCCCAAGTGTAAAACAGGACTCATGAAATCGGTCTTTTGAGGAGCTTAGTCATTCTCTGCTGGGTTATACCTGGGACATTGATGACTTTGTGTTTTTTGGCCAGATTAGTTGCTAGAAGGATTGGGTTTTTGTTCCAGGTAACTTTGCTACATTCTGCCTGTGCAAAATATGATTCTTCAAAGAAATATGATTCT